GGAAAGTAACTTAACATTCTAATTCTTGAATAGAGAGATTAAATCTTACTGTAAGAAATTAAAGTTTTCAAGAGTGTAAAAAACAACCCAGAGAGAAAGGTAGAGAATCATTTAAGAACAGTATTTCTCTGTTTGACTCCTTCTGTGGGTTTCCTGTTGTTGTTTTTTTTCAAGGCAGGAACAAAAGCCGATGATTTAAAAATGTTAGATAACCTAAGCCACAGCAGTACACCCTTGTTCGGGATGACTTGATGACCCTCTTTGTAAGGGTTTGGCCACATGGTCTTGATGCCCGCACCCCCATGGCACCAAGCAAGGTGAACAGTGTGGCCGAGCTTCTCAAAGTGGGTCCTGTGGCCCTGCACACATGGAAGGGGCATTTCCGGAGAGATCTGGCGGCTGTCAGGGATGAGAACAGTAGCTCAGCGCATGACTCACAGTGGGGAGAGACGGCCAGAGGGGAGGTCTGTGTTGTCTCAGCACACAGTCAAAACACGCTAGAAGGGCTGTATCAGAGACAGGACTTCAGCTGTGGGCAGTCGCAGACCAACTGTGGACGCCTCCTGAGGGGCTTGGGAGGGCATGGTTAGACACAGTGGACTTAGAGGTAGAGAAATGCTGGCCCGTGGAGAATAGTTACCAGGGAACCAAAAGCAGCCCGCCAGAAAGGATCGCTCCCTTCTGGTGGGTGAGTGAGTCTACGCCAGAACTGGAGCTGGCCGTTTTGCAGGCCACAGGCCAACCCAGAGGAAAGCCCGCACCCCACAGGAACCTTCTGGACGCTTTTAGATAAGGTGGTCCACTTTTCATATTGATCCGAAGAGAGCCCTTGTCAATCCCTCTCCGTCAGCTTTTCGGTTAATGTTTTGAATTTTTCAGTGAACAGCTGCTGTAGCTGAGGAAGAATAGGTTGCAGATCCATCCATCCGGCAGTGCAGTCAGCGTGGGTGCTGCCACCCAGCCCCAAGCTGGGCACCGGCACGGGGGTCAACGCTGCCAGGAGAGAAACAAAGAATTGGGACCTTCTTGGAAAGGTAAATTGCCCCCATTTCCTTCTCATTACTGTTGCTCTCGCTGTTTTAAACACTATTTGTTACATGTGTGTCAGGGCTGGGAAAACCCTGGCAGCATATAATGTGCAACCACCAGCCCCACAAACCCAGTCGTGGAGGAGATTTTTGAGTCCCCGGGCCCGTGCGTGCTGAGCAGCACTAGGCTCCATAGGGTTTTCAATGGCTGATTCGGGGGGAAGTAGATCTCCAGGCCTTTCTTCCAAGGCACCCCAGGGAGGACTCAAAGTTTCCACCTTCCATTTAGCAGCTGAAAGCTATTTGCATCACCCAGGGGGCTCCAAGGAAGGAAAGGGAGAAGGCAAAGAAGTAGATCTTTTGAATGTGTGGACAACTCTAATGCTCACCCCAACATAAAACAATTCCAATTCTACCTTACAAACCCAGCTACACAGGTATGGATAAGAGGTAGAAACACAGGGAATCCAGGACAGATAAAGCCCTCAGGACCAATAATGAGAGTAGCGATACCAGGAGGGTAAGGGGAAGGTGGGGGGGAGAATGATCTACAATGATCTACATATAACCCCCTCCCAGGGGGCTGG